CAAAATGGATGCCAGAAGAAACTCTGAAACTTGCTTTCCAGCAGGAGACACTAAGGAAATGGAAGAAATGAGGAGGTGAAAGAGTTGGATAGAAAATTCCAAAGGGTAGCTGTAGAAGACAAAGTCAACTATTATAATGAAATGTGCAAAGATCTGGAGTTAGAACCCGTAAGAGAAGAACACACTCAGTATTCTCAAGCTGAAGAACTGAGAAAAGCGTTCAAGACTCAACTTGAAATATTATTGAAGGATTCTTTGGGCAAAATATTGAATAATGCAGAAAGCATCAAAAGAAAATGGAAGGAATACACAGAGTCACTGTACCATAAAGAAATAGTCGATGTTCAACCCTTTCATGAGGTAGCATATAATCAAAAGGTAATGGTACTGAAAGAAGTCCAAGGTGCACTAATGTCATTGGCAAAGAACAAGTCTCCAGAAATTGGTGGCATACAAGTTGAAATAGCTCAGCAAAATGGTATGGCACTCAATTCAACTATGCTAGGAAATTCGGAAGATAGCTACCTGACCAACTGATTGGAAGAGATCTATATTTATGCCCATTCCAAAGAGAGGTGATCCAGTAGAATTTGTAAATCATTGGACAATATCATTAATATCACAAGCAAGTAAAACTTTTCTAGGAATGATTAAAAAATGACTGAAACAGTAAATTGACAGGGAAGTGCCAGAGGTTCAAGCTGGATTCAGAGGAGTACATGGAATGAGGGATTTTATTGTTGATATCAGATGGATATTGGCTGAAAGCAGAGAATATCAGAGAGATGTTTACTTGTGCTTCATGATAAATGGGGAAAAGATTGAAGTTGTTAGAGACTTCATTTTTCCTGGACCCACCATCAACACTCATGGAAGCAACAATCAATAAATTAAATGGTGTTTGTATTAGGTAAATCTGCTGCACAAGATGTCTTTAAAGTGTTCAAGAGCAAAGTTGTCAGTTCGAGGACTAAAGTGTGCTTGACCCAAGGCATAGTAGTATTTTCAGTAGCTTCAGATGCATGTGAAAGTTGGACAGCAAATTAAAAACACCATAAAAGAATTGATGCATTTGAATTATGGTGTTGGAGAAGAATTTTAAAGGTACCATGGCCTGCCAGAAGAACAAACAAATCTGTGTTGGAAGAAGTGCAACCAGAATGCTCCTTAGAATCCAAGAGGATCAGACTTCTCTTCGCATATTTCAGACTTATTATCAGGAGAGACCTGTACTTGGTGAAGGACATCAGACTTGGTAAAGTGCAGAGACAGAAAAAAAGAGCTGTCTTGGTTCAGTGGTAGCAGCAGTGTTCTCAAGCATAGCAGCATTTGTGAGGGGATACAGGACTGGGCAGTCAGTCATTTGTGCTGTTACATGTGTCGTCGTTACTTGTCGGAAGCAGTTCATCAGTACCTAATAGCGAGTGACCAGTAGAGACTGTGTTGCTATTCTGGACATTTTTCTTGGTTGGGGTTATTTTCTGCTTAATAAAATTGTACCTAGGAGAACAGTAGTTTACCTAGAAGAATTCTAATCAATGCCAGGTACTGTATTGTCTGGATCAGTTTTAAGACTTTCAGGTACATTTATTGAATCCTGGTGTGGTGTTGTAGGATAAGAATTGAACTACTAGCCATAAGGCCAGCAGTTCAAAATCACCAACTACTCCTACAATAACTGTACAGGGTTGCTATGAGTCTGAACTGGTTTTTTTTTTAAGTACATTAATTGTCACCGTCATTATTAATAATTTACCTAGAGGAATTTTTTATGCTCAACTATTGACATGTAGTATTAAAAACTACCAGTGGTCTCAAGAAGTTTTGTAACAACTATTGGCTATGTTATGTCCATTTTTCTTACATCAGATTCTTTAGGTATGTTTAGGAAGGCTCAGATTCAGAAATGTGTGTGGAAAAGAAGGGTCTGTAAGTGTACAGGGAAACTATATTTGAACCTAAATTGGTCATGGTAACATGGGAGAAAGATGAGGCTCGGAAAGCTTGTGCAGGGTCACCCTGAGCAGGGTCACCCTGAGCTGGAGCTGCCATCCCACCACCATCCTGGAAAGGAGGAATCCACGAATGCAATTCCCACTCAGACCCATAGTGCCTCACGTGCTCCTTTGACCGGAGAAAGTGACCTAGCACTGGAGAAAGTTATGCTTCCCCTCATCTGTTTCCTGGGTATGGATATGAAACCTCTACATTGACACTTGTTTACTCTGAGTGTTTCTGTGGTCATTCTTATGCCAAGTGTGTTCTGCTTGTATGCCTATATTTTTTCTATTTCCAGCTATGTTGTATTATATATTTTTGTAAATCACCAATCTTAAGTACATACATCTGTGGTTCCTTATGAGGATCCTTTATTTTAAAATTAAAACTCTTAATTTCCAGGGTAGTGTTAATGTCTGCACTGAAGTAGGCTGTGAACGTAGAAGTTGCTGTGAAGTAGGCTGAATAGTGAATAGTGCATACTGGTGGGAGCTGGGAGATGATTTGTAATGCAGAGTTGTCAGACGGGAGAAGGAAGTGGAATAGGTGTGACTCTTTGTGCCCTTTATTTGTTTATTTTTGTTTTTATTGTGTGAGTTATGTGATGGTTTACATGGAAGAACATTAGCTTTACATTCATCCTATTGTATATCATTTCATTACCATGATTACAATGCCCCCTCCATGTATTATCAAACAACCAAAGGGCACACCCCGCAAGCCTGCTCCCCAGCCGCCAGCACACAGCCTCTCTCTCTCCCTGAGTCCAGAGTCCCCGGCCACTCCACCTCCGTCTCTGTCTCTGTCTCTGGCATCACTGTTTCTCTGGGTAGGGTCCCACACTCCGCTCCTCCCCCTTGATGGTCCCAGGGACCTCCACTCCTAGACTGCAAAATCAACCACTCCCCTCCTTTTGTTACAAAATGTCTACCTTTACATTTCCAACCCTCATAACAATTATTCACTATTGTACCACAAGAGTCTTATCCCCATCTCCTTTCATCATCCCTGCCCAGACAGATTGAAAACACTCATTGGAGATTCTGCTTTTCCCCACACCCTCTTGAAAACTTGTAAGCCAGTCATTTCTTGCCTTTGTAGCCCCCCCCTTTTGGGTAGCCAATGTCTCAAGTTGCCCATCTCGGTCTACCCTGTGTACCAAGGGGTTGGAAATGATTTTCACTGTAAAGATTTGTTCCCTCTTTTGAGCTGCTACATCCATAAGTATAGGTCAAGTTCATCAAATTGTATCAGATTACTCTTTTTTCCCCCTCTTCCTTCTTCTTAATTGAGCTCTGATCATCCAGCCATTGAAGCCAGGTCAAGTGGGTATTATCTGCAAGTGTGAGTGTCCTTGTGCATCTCCCCTCACTTCATATCTGCTGGACGCTTCACTCTCCACTCTAGTCCTCTGTGGCTGTGTCATTGACTCTGGGCCCAGGAGTCCCCAAGTCTTGCCATACTGCTGGCCAACCAGGTCTCAACCCGGGTTGAAAGAGTCTATTGAACATGGTAGGGCTTAGTTTGCTGCTTCATTGATGTTTTCCCCCCACTATCCCTTGTCGGTGACCAATGTGGTTGCCGTTGTCTTTTAAGATGGGAATTAGAAACAGCTACTTATATGGGTGAAGTGGGTGGGCCCATTGTAAATGTTGTGCCCATTGTCGTCACAGATGCCAGACATACATGTCTCATTCAAATGGCAATGGCTAATTCAGGTTCAAAGGTAGCTCAGTGAGGGAGAGAACGAACATCTGTACAAGTCACACAGCTGGTCATCAGTTTGTGGGTTTTGCTTTCAAAGGTTCTCTGGGGATATTTAAGCTTAGGGATAAATCATCAGTTGGTACAATTTAGGGTAACAGCACTTTATCAACTTATTGACTATTGATTTAAAGTATGTTTTTCATTTGCATTTTAGTATGGGACTATAATACTGGCAGAGTTGGAGCACCATTAGTTTGCTGTGAAATCAAGTTGAAGAACTGGGAAGAAGGTAATAACCAATTTTAACCACAGGATAGTAATTTGAATAATATCAAACCTTAAAATAAGAATGTGAATCATTTCCTTATCTTGGAGAATAATAAAATCATTCACTGGTGTTCCTTTCTTGTCTTTTACATTAGAGACATTTTTATCTAGGGCTATATAACTACATTTACTTGGCTTATTTCAAAGATAGTTTTAAAGAATTAATGGTTTTTATTTTATTACATATACTTCTAAGTAAGAAATGTAGAAACAGCTGAATGTTTTTACTGAATACCAATTTTATAGAAGCAAACTAGTAAAATTTATTCTATGAAAAAGAAATTTTGCAAATTCCCCTTTCTTTTTCCCCAAAACCTCATGTCGCCATCATTTGTTGGAGTCTGGTGTGGCGCTGCAGGATAATGAATGCACTGGACCCCAGGGTCAGTTTGAACCGCAAAGTTGGAGGTTCAAACTCACCAGCTGCTCCTTAGAAACCCTTTACAGGTTCACTATTAGTCATACCTGACTAGAATGGCACGTAATGACAAACAGCCAATGATTTGTTGGGATATATGTATCTACACAAAATACAGATACAGATTTTTAAAAAAATTATATTTCATTTTTCAGCAGATATTTAGCAGAATTATTGAAAATCTTTAACAAATTTTAACTTTAAGGCATTTTGAAATTATGTGTTAGAATAATAAATCTTCTAAGAACTTAGTTTTATAGAAATTTTTGTTCTATTATAAGCTCTAGTTTAATGGTTGGAGTCCTGGTGTGGCGCTGTGGGTTAATGCGCTGGACTGCAAAGTCAGTTTGAACCGCAAGGTTGGCAGTTCAAGTTCATCATCCACTCCTCTGAAATCCTATACAGGGTCGCTATGGGTCAGAGTCAACTTGATAGCATTTAACAACAAAAAAAATAAATGAGGGTGAGTCAAAAATCATCCACACTGTAGCTGTAAAATTTATTTTAATCAATTTTTAGAAAAGACAAATATATTCTTTTTTGACATAATCTCCTTTTCAATACACTTTGTCCATCTGTCAATTAATGTCTATATTCTCTTATTAAAAATGTTTTAGGCTGAGCTACATACGAGCCACAAATGCATCACTCACTTTGTTTACGTCATCAGAGGTGAATCTTAGTCCTCAAAGGGCTACTTTCAGGGGACTAAACTGGTGAAAGTCCCATGGAGCAAGATCAGGACTATAGGGAGGATGCTTTAATACCTCAAAATGCAGCTTTTGAAGAGTGTCAACAGTGTGGGCAGAGGTGTGGGAACGCACATTGTCATGCAGAGATCACAGTGGGCAGAGGGGTGGGAACATGCATTGTCATGCAGAGATCACAATGCCCTTGGCTAGCAGCCTCTGCATTTAATCCAGTGTTTAGGCTTCAGCTCTTGAGTGAGCATCTCACTGTAAGGAGCACTTTTTCCTGATCATGTTCCAATACTGGCCCTTGAGAATCCCAGAAAACTGTAAGCATCAATTTTCCTGCTGATGGTTGACTTTTGAGCTTGTGCTTGGTTTCTTCAGAGTAAACAACAGAGTATGGAATGGAAACATCCTTAGTCACCAACCAAGAACAAGTTCAGAAGTCAACCATTAGCTGGAAAACTGATCTTTACAGTTTTCAGGGATTCTCAAGGGTCAGTACTGGGACGCTATCAGAAAAAAGGTTCCACCATCAGCAGTGCCTAAACATTGGATTAAGTGCAGAGGGCTGCTAGCCAAGGGCATTGTGATCTGGCATGACACTGTTGACACTCTGCTCACCTTTCGTTGTGAGGTGTTAAAGTGTCTTCCCTACAGTCCTCATCTTCCTCTGTCGGACTTTCACCTGTTTGGTCTCCTGAAAGCAGCCCGTCAAGCATCAAGATTCACCTCTGATGAAGAAGTGAAGAAGACAGTGGTGCGCTTGTGGCTCACAGCTCAGCCTAAAACTTTTTTTTTTTTTAGCTTAAAACATTTTTTAAGGGAATATGAAAGCTTGTTGACAGATGGACAAAAATATATTGAAAAGCAAGGAGATTGTGTCAAAAAATGATCATTTGTCTTCTAAAAGTTGATTAAAATAAATTCTACAATCAGGGTATGGATAATTTTTGACTCACTGTCATACATACATGATTTAATACTTTCCTACCTGTTTCAAGGAGCTCTGGTAGTGTAGTGGTTACGAATCGGGCTGCGAACCAGAAGGTCAGCAGTTCGAAACTACCAGCTGCTCCACGGGAGAAAGATGAGGCAATCTGCTCCCGTAAAGATTTACAGCCTCGGAAACCCTATTCAGGGTCGCTATGGGTCGAAACCGACTCGACGGCACTTAACAACAACAACAACCTGTTTTATTATAGTATTTAAAAAAGTTTCTACAGAATCTTTTTGTAAAAACGACCTGTGTAGCTTGAGGAAAGGGCCCTGCTACTATAGTGTATTACATGCTGGGCTGCGAACTGCGAGGTCAGCAGTTTGAATCTACCATCTGCTTCACAGGAGAAAGATGAGGCTTTCTGGTCTTGTAAAGATTTATAGCCTCTGAAACCCTATACATTGTCGCTGTGAGTTGGAACTGACTTGATAACACGCAAACACCACCACCATGGATGGGGTAAAGGGGTCCTGGTGGGCACTATAGGGGAAACGTTAGACTGCTAACTTCAAGGTTAGTGGTTCAAAACCTTGGAGAGAGATGAGGCTGTCTGTTCCTGTTAAGATTGATAGTCTTGGAATTCCTACATAGGGTGCCTATGAGTCAGAATTGACTCCTCGCCATGAGTTTATAAATAGGTGAGGCATTCTAGTGGCCAGTGACTGAGTGCTCAGCTGCTCACTAAAAAGTCGACCATTCAAACCCACTCCAGCTCCATAGAAGATGGACAGTCTGCTTCTATAAGGGTTTATAGCCTGGGAAACCCTGTGGGGGCAGTTCTTTATTCTCTGGGGTCGCTGTGAGTCAGAATCGATACACAGCATTGGATTTTGTAGCTGGAGGAGGGTGTTCACTTTTTTAGGGTGATTTTTTTTCGTCCCTTTCTCCCTTAGACTAAGTCTTTTTGTGCTTATTGTTAAATGATTAAAATTTTGGACCTTGTTTTATGTTTATAAACTGTTTATTCAGTGTGTCTCCCGATTGAAATAAGAGAAATCTGTTTTAGTAACTTCACAGTTTCAATGTTGAATTAACTCCTAAATTATGTTTATTAGGTGGATACTTTAATACAGATAAACCACACCCCAGGGGTGAAATTCTTGTTGGTGGCCAAAATGTGACAATGGGATACTACAAAAATGAAGCAAAAACAAAAACTGACTTCTTTGAAGACGAGAATGGACAAAGGTGGTTCTGCACTGGAGACATTGGCGAGTTTGACCCTGATGGGTGTTTAAAGATTATTGGTGAGCCAACTAGTCCTGGTTGGAATGTAAATGGCTCTGTAATTGTTGAATGAAATAGATAGGTCTCCAGAGAAGCTGTTTAACGATGGAAAACTATGACGTTTATCAGGCTTGACTATTTTATGAGGAAGCCCTCAACGAGATGGCTTGGCACAGTGGCAGCAGCGGGTTTAAGTGTATCAAAGATTGTGAGGCTGACCCAGGACCCCGGGCAGTGCTTCATTCTTTTGTGTCTGGGGTTGCTCTAAGTCGGTACTAACTCAATGGCACCTAATTACAACAACAACAACATTATGTATGAGTTCTCAAAATCAGTTCAGGAGCATTGGTGTTCTTAATTATTGTTTGTTAGGTGGTGGTGGTAGGTGCCATCGAGTTGATAATAGATAGTCAGTAGAGTCAGATTCTTTCCTGCCAGTCAGTGGAGGGAATGAATATTCATTCTGTGGTATGACCTGGTTCCTGGGCTAGACTCTCACCTGTATGAACCGGGGAGACAGCTGGACAGCTCACCTCTGGCCCGTAGGGGCCCAAATACTTCCCTCCACTTCTCTCCTCGGGTTCTTTTCTCACTTCATGGCATTTTTATCTTAGTCATGCTTATGAGGGACCTGGGAGGAAGTGGGACATCTCTTCTGTCGGCTCCTTGTCTCTAATCCATAGCTCCCTGATTTCTTCTTTCTCTCCTGGTCCTTTTTCTCTCCTTTTCGTGATTGTGGGTTTGGCCCTGACCCTCTGTTACCTGGGCTGTTGCCATAAGTCTCTCCCTGTTGCATGCTTGCTCCCTTTGGACATGTCTTCTCCTTGCCACGTGTAGATACTAGACTGACCGGGCCACTTTCTTGCCTGTGGAAGAGCCTTTTCTAGTGGCCCCATTGTGTGATCCCCGTCTGCCGCCCCACCTTCCCCTCCAGCTGCTTTCTGTCCTCTTATGCTCATGCCGTTTAGGCTGACGTACTTGTAGGCCAGTGCTAGTGTGCGTCCACTTGTCCACCTCTCCCTCTGCCTCACCTCAGTCCTCACTCGAAGGAAGTCTGAGTCCAAGGTTGGAGACTCTACCCTCTCAGCATGGTGGAGATAGTATGAGCCTGTGTGTTTTGTAGCTCACAGGGAGTGTGAGCTTGCAGGCCACAGCCCTGACATGGCTATCTGCTTAAGTAAAAGCAGTGGTTTTTCTTTCCAAAGATTGTGTTTAATAGTATAAAAATTAGTGTCTCATTTTATTATGTCTGTTTAATTTGATTATAACCATAATAATGAACGTAATCTGTAAGAAGTATTTAGGAATGGCTGAGACTAGTTGCATTGAAGGCATTATTACTATGGTTTGTCTTTCTGTCCCCCGCGTCACTGCTTTGGTTTGCTTTACACAGATCGTAAAAAGGACCTGGTAAAACTGCAGGCTGGAGAGTATGTTTCTCTTGGGAAAGTAGAAGCAGCATTGAAGAATCTCCCACTGATTGATAACATTTGTGCATATGCAAACAGGTAAGGGATTATTAAACTTACACTGTAGCAGTAGATGTGCTATTGGTATTTTCTACCTTTATGGGCCTTCTTTAAGGCGTCTCGGTGCAGGCTACTAACTGCAGTGTCAGAGGTTCAAACCCACCAGCTCCTCTGTAGGAGAACAGTTAGGCAGTCTTTTTTTTTTTAAGTGATTACAGCCTCACAGATTGCTCTTTACTGTGGGGCTGCTGTGAACCAGACTCAACTTTGATGGCAGTGGGTTTGGGAATTAAGCTAGACAGGAGGCCTAGGGGAACAAGGGTTTAATAAGTGTGGGCTGCTAATTGCAAGAGCAGCGGTTCAGATCCACCAGCCTCTTTGCTATTTGCTCCCATAAAGACTTACAGTCTTGGAAATGATCAAGCAGTTCTGCATACTTTGTCCTGTAGGGTCGCTATGGAATCCCCACGATAGAAGTTGGTTTGGTTTGGTTATGGGCTTTCTGTACAGAATCCTCCCGGCTTGGATCTGCTGGCTCTAGGAACAGGCTTTGTCCTCGATCCAGCCACAAGCTGAGTCCTTCCTCATGATGCTTCCTGTCTGCCCTGTTTCCTGTGTTACACTCAGCCCACAGTGTCCTGTGTGGTCGGGAGAGGAAGGAAACGATACCTTTCTCCTGCCCGCCTTGTCAAACCAAATGAAAGTGAAGCGAAGAAGGAAGTTGGGGTTTGGGAGTACTGCTCTGCTCGGTTTTTCCTAACCTGCTCTCACTTGAGCCCACTTAGGACTGGCCGAACCAGGGGTTCCCACTTGTGACTTACCGTGGAACATCCCTTGGCCATGATGATATGTTGTTATTAAGTGCTGTGGCGTCTGTTCTGACTTACTGTGAACCCTGGATAGGATTTCCAAGACTGTAAAGCTTCATGGGAACAGAAAGCCTCATCTTTCTCCCATGGAGCTACTGGTGGGTTTGAACCTTGTGATTAACCAGCAGTCCAGTACTTATCCCATAGAACCACCAGCACACCCAAAGCTATTTTGATTTGTTGCCAGCTTGCTTTAAACTTTCTTGGCATAAACAAAAATCATTTTTGCTAAGTGCTGTCAAGTTAGTTTTAACCCACAGCGACCCTGTATAGAGTTTCTGAGGAGTGTCTGGTGGGGTTGAGCCATCAACCTTGTGGTTCAAACTGACTGCGGCTCAGTGCATTATCCTGCAGCACCACACCAGGACTCCAAACAAAAATACGATACTGTTTTTATTTAACCCTTTGCCAGGCACTACTGATTTTTTCTTAACGAAGAATTTTCTAGTATTTGTGTAATTTTCTTTTAAAAACTGTATGTGTGGCACTCTTCATGGTTGAAATACATGTCACGAAATAGAAGGTTGAGATATTTCCTAGCAGTGAAGCCTTGTGCCAAGGCGTTGGAGCATACGATGAACCAAACAGTAGAAGTGGCTGTTGCATGAACCAAATGTTTGCCACTTCCAGACGTGCTGCTGATTGAAGTAGACCCATCAGATTACTACACATAATCTTTCCTTCTCTTTGTAAACTGATGCCTGTTTCTAAATAGTATATGGTAGTTACTCAGTATTCTTGTGATTGGGTGTTGGACAGTGTGCTGTTCAAGTCCTTGGCTAAGTTGTCTCTCACCTGTTTCAGCTATCATTCTTACGTCATTGGGTTTGTTGTGCCAAACCAAAAGGAGCTAACAGAACTAGCTCGAAAGAAAGGACTGAAAGGAACTTGGGAAGAGCTGTGTAATAGTTGTGAAATGGAAAATGAGGTACTTAAAGTCCTTTCTGAAGCTGCTATCTCAGGTGAGTGTTACACTCATTATAAGAACTGAGGTGGAAGGAGAGTACTGTGAAATGTGTGTTCAACTTGTTCCTTTACAAGGTGTAAGCCGTGACATTTTCTGCTCAGAAAATAATAGTAATTTTCTGCTACTAATAGATTGAAGAATATCCTTCTCAAGCTCCCATTCAAATCCATCTACACATCACATGGACACATGATCCACATGATTTACACCAGCCTGGCTAAAGGTTCTGTGACGGCTACATGTATCCTGAATGCTCTTGTCTTTGCAATCTTGGTTTCCTAGCATGGCAGTTTCTCCGTTTAGTGATTTTCCAAGACCCTGTCTAGTTACCTGGCTACCTGAGCTCATTTGAGAAAGATGCAGGATATTGCTGCATGCAGTTATGGGGGCCAAACAAGTCTGGAATCCATAGAACACCCCATCTGGAAGGGCCTTCACAAAGCTGCTTCAAGGAAGCCTCACTGCTGCTCTGTAAGACCCATCCCCTTACCTAAAATAATCTAAAATAGAACTAACCACTGATGTTCAGCCCATGTCAGGTGGGTACCATCCACATCTGGAAGGGCCTTCACCAAGCTGTTTCAAGGAAGCCATGTACAAAATAGCTTCACAGCAACTCCTAGACTAGTGAATGTTTGAAAAACTGGATGCTCTAGCCTAGCTAGTTGACCCATAAAACTAACCACTGATGTTCAGCCCATGTCAGGTGGGTACCATCCACATCTCCTGAAACCAGACATAACCTACAGACAAAGACAGGCACAGAGTCAGACTTCGGCTGACATGATATAGCTATTCTACATACAACTACTGGTGTGGCACAAGAGGATAAAGCACCGGACTATAAGGTCGGTTTGAACCATTAGGTTAGCAGTTCAAACTAGCCAGCCACTCCTTGGAAACCCTATATAGAGTCGCTATGAGTCAAAAGCAACTGAACTGCATTTAACAACATACATCTGAAACCTGCTATCCTTTCACTGGCAGCGAATGCAAAGTTCTTGGGTGATTTTTTTTTTTTTTTAAACACTTCTTTGGTATCCTAAAACCTAACTTGGTGGTGGTTGTGTACCACTGAGTTGTTTCCTACTCATAGGGACCCAGGAGTCCTGATATGGTGCTGTAAGATAATGGACTGAACTGCAAGGTTGGCAGTTCAAACTCACCTGCTGCTCCTCGGAAACACTATCCAGGGTGGCTGTGGGTCAGAACCGACTCAGTGGCACTAAGTCTTTATAGGAACTGAAAGCCTCCTCTGGCTCCTGAGGAATGACTGATAGAATCGAATTACTGACCTTGTGGTGAGCAGCCCAGCTTGTAATCCACTGTGTTTACCAGCGCTCCTGAAAACTTGAAATATAAAAGGTTCAAAAAGGAAAGTGAAATATTCCAGTATCTTTTTTTTTTAAGGTTTTATTGTGGATTGAGTGAAAGTTTACAGGGCATATCATTAGTTTTACATTCAACAAATCATATACCTTGTTTCATTACATTGATTATAATCCACTCCATGTACCATCAGTTAACAGTATTTCTCTCTATCCACTTTAGCTTT